CGATTTGGGGCTTAAGCCCTAAGCCCTAAACCCTAAACCCTAACCCCTAAACTCCTAAACCCTAAACCCCTACACCCTAAACCCTAGACCCCTAAACCCTAAACCCCTACACCCCTACACCCTAAACCCCTACACCCTAAACCCCAAACCCCTAAACCCTTAAACCCTAAACCCTAAACCCTAAACCCTAAACCCCTAAACCCTAAACCCTAAAGGGCTTCGGGTTTCGGGTTTCGGAGGACTCTCGGGTTTCGCGGCCTTGAAGGTTTTAAGGCCTTAGGCTCCTTATTTAAAGAGCGTTGACACAGGTTTTAAAAAGGTCTTAATGTCGGGGCTTTAATAATTAGGGTAGGGTTCTGGGCTCCTTTATAGACTTATGATAATGAGGAACCCTAGGGAAGAATGTTGGTAACTATTTCGGCTGCTATCTTATACAGGGGTTTAGGGTTTTCTTTAAGTTAAGGGTTTCAGAAGAGGGGCGCTGGCTTGAGGGCTTGAGAGGTCGCGCAGGTTTACGGGGGATAGTACGATGTTCCACATGTTGTGTGAGGACTCTGTGATGGGCTGGGATTTCGCTGGGCAGTCGAAGGTGCGAAAAGCCAAGTGTGCGCATGGAGGGCACTCATCTCCACGAGTGAGGTGCTGAACTCCCTAAGCCCTAAACCCTAAACCCCTAAACCCTAAACCCCTAAACCCTAAACCCTAAACCCTAAACCCTAAACCCTAAAGCCTGGCACAGCATCTCAGCCGCCTTCTGCTTCTCCCAGTCCTCGCGCTCTTGAACAAGCACAGCCTCTGGCAGCAGCGCTTGGTATGCATCCTGCACATCGTTGACGCTGTACTGGTGCTCGAGTGGCTGGCCAACAGCGCACGCGTTCGAGCAGAAAACCCTAAATCTTAAACCATAAACCCTAAACCCTCAACCCTCAACCCTAAACCCTAAACCTGAACCGTAAACCCTGAACCCTGCAGCCTAAACCCTAAACCCTAAACCCTGAACCCTAAGCCCCTAAACCCTAACCCCTAAACCCCTAAACCCTGAACCTTGAGCTTCCACAAGTTCGGCTCATCACCGGCAGCGGAACCCAGGACTTGGCGGGCTCGGACGGGCTTGGTGTTTAGGGTTTAGGGTTTAGGGTTTAGGGTTTAGGGTTTAGGGTTTAGGGTTATGGTTTAGTCGAAAAGTTCACCGAACTGACAGGACGCATGATGAGCCATCCTAAGCCCTGAACTCTAAACCCTCAACTCTGTGGCTTTAAGTTATTGCACAGGCTCTGGTTTCGGATTCTGTCATTACTACTTAGAAGGCTTGGGAAGGTTGAAGGGCTGAGTTCGGGGAACTATTCGGCTTTTGCTGAGCTTTGGTCAGGAGCTCACCCTTCCCAAAACACTCTTCATCATTAGGGTCTTTAACCACTGAAACTATACGGCCTTCAAAGAGAAAACTGTAGTCGGATGAACTCCACAAAGGCTTGCAAGAATATTGCCCGCCTGGCTGGGCTCGTACCTCCCCGCTGGTGCCACGAGTGCATAGCCTCATCACCGTTCTGTTGCTTTTGCGTTTGTGGCTTTCGGATGTCTTCCGCCTTCGGGAATAGGGCATGGTGTTCAGGGCATCAGCTCAAGCAAATAGAGTCGTAGCAGGCTAGAGGGTTAGATCCTGGTACAATTCTTGAAGGCTACCACAGAAGTAACTGGTCTAGCAGCATTCACATGGAATAATTAAACCCTAAACCCTAAACCCTAAACCCTAAACCTATACCCTTAGATAAGGTGCTTGTAGGCTTCAAGCAGCCCAACCTCTGCAGCCGACATCCGAAAACCCGTAGGTTTAGGGTTTAGGGTTTAGGGGTTTAAGATTTAGGGTTTAGGGTTAAGGGTGTAGGATTTAGGGTTTAGGGTTTAGGGTTTAGGGTAAATTGTTGAGGCCCCCGCGCCATAGAACCCTACTGTAAGTAACCATTGAAGTAACCCGGCTGAAGGGGCCAATTCGAAGGAACCCTGTTCTGATGGCGGGAGGCGGGGCACAGAATCGCGTCGCAGAGGCCGAGTCACAGCTCGGATAAACACTTAGGGCTCGGGGCTTGGGGTTTAGGGTAGGGTTTAGGGCTTAGGGTTTAGGGCTCGGGGCTTGGGGTTTAGAGACTCGGAACCCCAAGAAAACCCTAAAGCCTGAACCCCTCCCCTAAACCCTGGACCCTAACCCCTAAACCCTAAACCCTACACAATAGTTCCCTAAAGTCGCCTTGAATCTTAAAACCCCCATATCGCTGAGGGGGCAACCGATGTCTCCACTCTCCCACGTGGAGTAGTCATTGATCAGCTTGCACCTGTTTGGGCCGCGACGACTTCAGGTCAATCGTTTAGGGTTGAGGGTCAGGGCCTAAAGGCTATTCTGTGGATTTTAAGCACCTTTTTCCGCCTGCCCGCAGAAAACCCCACACCCTAAACCCTAAGCCCTAAACCCTAAACCCTAAACTCTAAACCCCAAAGGGTTTAGGGTTTAGGGCCTGCAGGGTTTAGGGATAAGTGCCCAACAGATTGAACTGCTCCACTGAAACCCACACGGTGGCCAGAATAAGTGCTATAGAGGCGTAAAGATGTGTTTATGAGGTTTGGGGTTGTGGTTTTGGGTAACATAGCTACCATAACAGTTGTAACCGGGGGTAGAGAGTTGTTATCGGGTTGTAAACTGGGAGCGTGCGACTTGCATGAATTTAGGTCGGGCCGGAATAACTATAAGGCTTTTCCCGGGACCGCAATGATTAGAATAGGGCTTTTCTTTGAAAGGACAACGAAAGCTTTCACCGGTGATGTATAGATGCCTGCTATGCGCTCGTTTTTCCAACTGCTTTCGCTTCGGTGGTGTGTTCTGCGATTTCTGACTCTCTTCGGCATCTAATCGGGTTTATCGAAAGTTTCAATCGCACTTCTTACAGAAATTTCATTCCGATATTCGGAGCCGGTCGGGTCTCGCAGAACGCAAGTAGAGGAAAGTGAAAAGCCTATAATACAGGGTAAGGGTGGGCTGGAGAAGAAAATCCTAAACCCTAAACCCTAAACCCTGACCCCTAAACTCTAAACCAAACTGGCCACGGAATGCCTATGTTCGGAATGATCGACCATGTATATCCACAGAGTCGATCGGTGATTGATGAAAGCATGGAGTTGTCCTTTCGCACACAAGTGTGCTACACTACAATCATGGAGAAACTATAATATAGGGGCCTTCATAATTAGAACAGGGTTTTGAGTATTTTATACCAGAACGATAATAGGGAACCCCCAAAATAGTATAGGTAATTATTAAGCCCTAAACCCTAAACCCTAAACCCTAAACTTATATATATATATATATACACGAATGATTCAGACCTCGAAGTCGGGCTTAGCTAAACGGCAAATCCACTGTAGAAAGTCACCCGTAAATCCCACAATTTAGGGTTGAGGGTTTAGGGTTTAGGGTTTAGGGTTTAGGGGTGAGGGTTGAGGGTTTAGGTTTAGGGTCCCCCCCCTAGCGAGGTAGCTTTGGAGATCTCTTCAAATGAAACCACAACGACAAACCTTGATTGAACCATGGAAACAATCAACACGAGCCGGATCGTGCACCTAAACTAAACCCTGAACCCTAAACCCCAAACCCTAAACCCTAAATCCTAAACCCTAAACCCTAAACCCTAAACCCTAAACCACCCTGACGCCCTAATTCCAAACCGTAAACCATCGACCGTGGAGGGAACCCTTGTAGGAGCTCTCATGTACAGTTTACGGTTTAGGGTTTAGGGTTTAGACTTTAGGGTTTAGGGGACCAACCTTCAAGGAAACCAATTATTAAAGCCCCCATATGGGTAGTTCTCTAAATTAGGGTCCCTTTTTAGGTCCCCAATAGAGTACGGCACCCTTATAAAAAGGACCCCAAAACGGACCCTAATTTAGAAAACAACCCATATACCCCCAAAACCCCTGTCGCCTTCATAAGGCCCTATGCTGCAGAAT